TGTCCTTTTTAGATTTTTTTTAAAGTGACCTTTGTAGTTTGATTTAAATGTGGATAGACTTTTGCCATCTAATATCTTAAGATCCAAATAACTTAAATATAATTTTACTAATACATAGATTTAGATATTTAGTAGTTCAGATGTTTCCTGATTGTTATTATATAAAGCAAAATCCTGATATAACACAGTTTACCATTGTTTTCTTCCTTAATATCAGCGTTATACAGGGATTGTTTCTATTATGTTTAGAGAAAATGTTTTAAAAGTATTTAAGCCCTATATTTCATGTAAACATTTTTCATCTTCTTTAAAATAGGTAAATCAACAAACTGGGAAGATGATGGTTGGGGAGCCTGGGAAGAAACAGAACCGCAAGAACCTGTAAGTCTTTATAAATGTATGCATGTTTTTTGATAGTGGCATTTTCCTTCTGTAATAACGGTGACATAGTTTAGCATTAGGTTGATCTTTTAAAATCTATGTCAAGAACATTTTTGTGCTTACTTGATAGTATTTAACTAGATGCCTGTTCTTAAGGAAGTTAGTGACTTTATAGCTAAGTGGGTGTCTTATTCTGTTTTGTGCTGCTATAACAGAATACCAGAGACTGGGTAGTTTATAGTGAACAGAAATTTATTGGCTCCCAGTTCTGGAGGCTGGGAAGTCCAAGATTGAGGGGCCAGCATCTGGTGAGGGTCTTCTTGCTACCTTATAATATGGCAGAAGGCAGGAGAGAGGAAGGGAGAGAAGTGGGGGGAGAGAAGTGGGGGGAGAGAGAGAGAAAGAAGGGGCCAAACTCCCCCTTTTATAATGAACTTATTCCCAAAATACTGAACCCACTCCCTCAATAATGGCATTAATCCATTTACTACGCCCTCATGGCCTAATCACTTGTCATTAGGTCCCGCCTGCCAACACTTGCATTGAGGATTAAGTTTCCAACACATGCTTTTGGGGGAACACACTTATCTTAGGATCCTTTATCCTTCATAAGTTATTCTTTTAGACTCTTTCACTATTCATTCAACAAATATTTGTTGTGCCCACCATATTCTAGGCATTTTTCTAGGTGATAGGAATATAGCAACAAACAAAGTAGACGAAGTCCCGGTGTGTGTTAGTCTGTTTTCACCTGTGACTAATAGAAAATCTAACTTAAACTGGCTTAAATAACAAGAACATTTATTACCTCACATAGAAGGAAGTCCAGAGATAGGATGGGCTCCTGAGTGGATCAGGTGATTCAGCTATGTCATCAAGTTCTTTTCTTGGGTCCACTTTGTTAATGCCATGTTGGCTTCATCTTAAGGCTTGTTCCTTTCACAGAAGTATTGTGGCAATGAGTTTCTTAATTAAATACTGGAGAGAGAAAAAGAATCATGGTTTCCATGACTCATTTAGGAGCAGGGAACTACTTTTTTAGATGCCTCTACTAAACTTTGCCTTATGTCTTTTTGGCCAGAATCAGTGCGCATGCTCATTTCTGAACTAACCACTGCCAAGGGATATGAGATTTTTATTGTTCAATATACATTCCTTGGAGGTGGAGGATAAGGGGATCAGCTTTCCCTGAGGCTGATGGCTGGACAGAGGAGGAGTTGATACCCAAACAAAATCAGTTTTTTTTGTTTTGTTTTTTTTTTTTAAAGAAAGAATGAACATATATACTATGTAGGTCTTGTAGTTCTGTTTCCAGGACTATACACTCAAACGAGGAGAGAGAAATAAAAAAGAAAGATAGATGGAGAGTATCAAATGGTGGTAATAGGTATACAGAAAGTTCAAATGGTGATGTGATAGCAAGTGATCAAGTGACTATTGTAGAATGGGTGGTCAAAGAAAGCTTTTCAGAAGATGTTGTAACAGAGGGAACAGCCTGAAAAAAGGTAAAATGTTTTATGAGTTGTCTCTTTAAAACTACCCCCACTCTTTTTGGGAATTAAAACCTACATTCCTGCCCGGGGCCAATAATCAGAAGAGCAGGAGAGTGTCCTTTGTTTTTTGTACCACAAGACATGGCTCAGTGGAAGTGTCCAAACAGAGGTCACGAGATTGTCATCACTGGAGATAGGATGGATCAGAACCAGCAACTATAGTGAAAGAGCAATAGGCTGAAGCTGAAAGCCCTCCCTTTAAAAGCTCTGTATTTCTGCCTATAGTTAGGACAATGACACTTTAAGACGAGAGGCTACATCCTCCCCATATGCCAGCAAATTATTAATAATAAACCTCCCTTTCCTTCTCCTCAAACCTCTTGTCCTTGTTCTCCTGATGCGGCCTCAGGGACAAATGCTGAACTTTCAGTAACAATGTGACATTTAAGGTGAACTCTAAAAGAACATGGAGTCAGTAAGGTGAAGATCTGACAAAGAACATTCTAGGCCAGGGCAACAGCTCATGCAAAGGCCCTAAGGCAGGAATGGGCATGGAGTTTGAGGGAATGTAAAGAAGGCCAGTGCGGCATGGCAGGACTGAGACTGCTGCAAGATGGGGTGAAAGAAGTAAGCAGGACTGATGATGACAAGCTTTGTGAATTTGAGGTTTATTCTAAATGCAGTGGAAAACCACTTGCCTGATTTGTGACTTCTGTAACTCACCTTGGCTACTCTTTAGAATAGATTGAAGTAGGGAGCAAAAGTTGAAACAGGGAGACTGATTAGGAGGCTGTTGCAGTAGTTTAGTTGAGAGATGATGGTGGCTTTGATTAAGGTATAACAGTATTAATGAAAATGACAAACGGCTGGGCACAGTGGCTCACCTGTAGTCCCAATAGTTTGGGAGGGTGAGGCAGGAGGATTGCTTGAGGTCGGGAGTTTGAGACCAGCTTGAGCAACATAGCCAGACCCCATCTCTACAAAAAATTTAAAAATTAGCTGAGCGTGGTGACATGCACCTGTAGTCCCAACTGCTCAGGAGGCTAAGGCAGGAGAGTCACTTAAGCCCAGGAGTTCAAGGTTACAGTGAGCTGTGATCATGCCACTGCACTCCAGTCTGGGCAACAGAGTGAGACCCTGTCTCAAAAAAGAAAAGGAAAGAAGATGAGAAGTGGATGGATGCCAGATAAGTTTTGGAGATAATAAGACTTTCCAGTGAGTTGGTTGTGAAGGATGAGAAGAAAGAGAAAAACCAATAATAACTTCTCTGAACTAGGGTGTGGTTATGTGGAATATGTAAAACATTATTTGCAAAATTTGATACTGCCAAAAGATGAGTAATAGGTACCATTCTCTTTATTTTTATTACTGTTTGAAAATATCCATAATAAAAAGTTTTTTAAAAACTCTCTCATATTTATTTATTTATTTATTATTTATTTATTTATTTTTGAGACAGAGTCTCAGTCTTTTGCCCGGGGTAGAGTGAGTGCCGTGGCGTCGGCCTAGCTCACAGCAACCTCAAACTCCTGGGCTCAAGCGATCCTTCTGTCTCAGCCTCCCGAGGAGCTGGGACTACAGGCATGCGCCACCATGCCCAGCTAATTTTTTCTATATATTTTTAGTTGTCCGATTAATTTCTTTCTATTTTTAGTAGAGACGGGGTCTCGCTCTTGCTCAGGCTGGTTTCGAGCTCTTGAGCTCAAACAATCCGCCCGCCTCGGCCTCCCAGAGTGCTAGGATTACAGGCGTGAGCCATCGCGCCTGGCCCTCTATCAGATATTTAGCTTGAATAACTGGGTGTGTCATACTGAGTTGGGAAGACAAGGAAAATAATAGGTTTAGAGGAAAAATCAAAGAGCACTGTGTGCTAAGAAGTAGAGACAGACTCACATAATAGAGATTTATGGAAAAGCTCCTTGGGGACATTAAGAACAGGAAACTATTTCAGTAGATCTCTAGGAGAATTGGAGCGTGTTGCATAGGATAAAATGCAACTCAAGGAAGTTGGTTATCCCATCACCTCAGCAGGCAACACCTGTCCTTTCCTTTTCTAATGCTGTGTCAAAATGGAGACTCAGTTACTCCATTTTTACTGACTGACTAGCTTCCGCTTACTCGTGATTTACACTATTTCATGGCTTTTGCTTATATCTTTTGTTTGTGGTTGTCTTACATTCTCTGTCTTTCTTTGTTGCACACTCAGAGCTCGTTTGAGGATTTTACTGAATCTGTTAATCACTATCCAGCATAGGGTATCTGGAGGAGGGGAACATAGTGTTTCTATGAGGCCACTTGCCACTTCGTGGGTCATCAGCCAGCCTATTAATGCTGCCCTCTGGTCAGGTATTCATCAGCAGTTTAATTAGCTGTGGTAAGAGTGAGGGCGGGAAGGGAAAGGAGGGGATTTGTACAAACAAGTTTGGAAATTCTTCATGGCCCTATGTACCTAAGCCTTTCAGAAGGGAATATGCTTTGAGAATTTCTTAGAAAGGGATAGTGTAACTGGCAGCCACCTTATATGTGGTGTTTGGTACAGTTACTTTTGTATTTATTTTGTAGACTCATATAGCTAAGTGACTATTGTTGAGTAATATAACAAACTTCGAAGTAAGTTTGAGGTTTTCTGATTAAACCTCACAGGCATTGCATGTTAAAGTAGACATATGCATTTGTAATTTCAGAGGAGGTTCCAGTGTGACAATAATTATTAAATATATAAAATAGTGCTGGTGCTGAGTTATATGGTATTTATTTATAGACCCAGATGCCCACATCTTGAAGATCTCACTGGTACATACTTGACTCTTTCTGGAATGGATTTTTATTTGTGAATAACATAGTTGGGGATTTGTGTGTGAGACTCATTTTCCTTGCAAGTATCTGCTATTTCTTCCCTGATAGAATTAAGTGGGTTAGTTTAGTCATAATGTGCCATAGACTTTGCTTTTTGGCTCATCTAACTTGTGTCTTCATTAAGGGTACATTGCTTTATGGCATTATAACCTAATGAGTAGGGAAGAAGGAAGACCTGCTATAAGATGGAGTCAGAGAAGCAAGTAGGCCTATAAGGCTTTGTGAATTTGGAGTTTATTCTAAGTGTGATCAGAAATCACATTATCTGATTCCTGGTTTTTAAAGCTAACCTTGGCTGCTCTGTGGAATAGGTGTAGTAGGTTTTTTTATTAGCTGTGCTTCTCTTAAAGGTCATGGACCTGTTTATTTTACAGTATTTCATTTTGATGTTCCACTGTTACAGCTGATTCTGGATCATGTGGACAATGATACCATAGTTAGAATGCTTAAGTGTTAACAGACTTCCTTTAAATCTGACTTGTGTAGTAAGTATGTCTTTTTATCAGCAAGGATATCTAAATCTAGAGATGCCCTAAATCTAGGGATCCCTAGGAATAAATCTTGGGATCTTGTTAAATGTTTTAGTTAAAGGCTGAAATATGTTTCTACTCATTCTAAAAACATAAAAAAATAGTAACATGTAGAACATTG